GGTGAGTCTAGAGCAGACGTACGGTGTGCTGGGGCTGCATGCTGCTGGCGATGGCAGGGAGGCACCTCAGGGCTGTTGCTGACCAGCTCAGGGGGGTACGCACTGGGGGCTCCCATACCCACAAACCCCACAACCACACCCTCTACACACAATCACGCGCCCCACAAACCCCACACCCACCCACACCCTCCTCCACAAATCCCCCACACACACCCCATGCGCCTCTGGGGGGAGCCCTGCTCACTGCTACGTGTGTGCACACACACACACGCACACATCCACACACACACATCCACACACCCCCATAGCCCCCCACAAACTGCATACCCACCCACCCATACTCTTCCCCTGCCCCCAGTATACAAGAGTAAGACCTCATTTTGAGCTATTATGCAATCACCTCTATATACAACACACAGATCAGGACAAAAATATTTTTTAAATAAAATTAAATATGTTGTTGTCAGTGTTTGATTTTTTTACTTTATAATTTGTGTTTTTTTCTGATTCCAAAATAGCAAACCCCTTTCCCAAAAGGAGTACTTTTGGAGACAAAGGTCAGGGGTTAAGGGGTAGGACTTCAGGTCCCAAGATGGCAACCAGGGGGGCAGGGCTTCTGTCAAGGGGCGGGGCTACCCATGCAGACCTCAACAGCTCACCAAAACTCATTAAGTGGCTCTCGACCCAAAATAATTGCCCAGCCCTGTTGTAGGGGCTGCTTGGGCTCTGGTCAGTTGCACGCTGTCTACACAGAAGCTTCTGCTCAGCACCTCAATCCTTTTTTTCTCTTCCTCTTCCTCCTCTTGTTGTGCCTAGGCCTGATGGAAGAGGGTGCACCGTTTCCCAGCAGTTCTACACTTACTGGCCATTGGTTCTAGAGGGGCCTCTCTGACTCTCTTGCTGGCTAGACAGATGTTCTAGTTTATATTTACCTCTCAGGGGGGAATGGGAGACACAAAGTACAAGCTATTGATAAATAACCAGTTTGTTACAGGATTCAGCTCTACCTCAGCAGTCCTGTCCCCCACCATCTGCATGCATTTGCTGTTAACTCAGGGCACAAGTCTTGGAGTAGAGGCCTTACCCACACTATTGCTTTTTCACTTTCTGCATCTTTGGTTCATGAGAGTCATCTGACCAGCTAGTCTAAAGATAGCGGACTGTGTGGTTAGGTGATTATATCAAAGGGACTGGGAGACTGAAGGAGCTCCAGTTGCAACCCCACCATTTGCAGGCCGCAACCAGACTCACATACAAGATCCACTGAAGAACAAAACTATTAAACCTACCTGTGTGGAAAACTTCCCAAAATGCCAGACAAAAAAAGCCTGATCATTTACAGCCAGCAGGGAACAGGGACTCCAAGAAACATCCATAGTTGCTAAACTTTTCTTCCTGGGTTGGCAGGTTGTGCAGCTTTAGGAGTGAAAGTTGGAGCTCAGGTGAGTACTGCTCCCATCTTGGCTTCTGCACCAAAGTCTGTGAAACATCCTTCCTTAAGGGAAGTATAGTTTACTGATTCTTAAACCAGGTGTAAAAACCTCTTGGCTTCCAGAGATCTTCAGAACAGGACTTTGATTTAGATTCAGTGCTTTTTGCATTCATCTGCTTCTATTGTTTCTCTGTAAGGTGACTTGGAAATAACATGCTTCATGGTTATATCTTTATATTTACATGTAGGTAAAATCACGTCTTCCCTGACTGCTAGTCATAGATTGCACTAAAGCCTTTTCATGGCTACAGTGCCTAGAGGTAGATGGCTGGGGGGAGGGGGGGAGGGGTGTCATTGCCGGTTGCTATCATTGGAAAAAGATGTGTGGTATAGTAGGTACATGGCTACATAGCAACTCCTAACTGGGAGTGAACTGTGAGGTCTTTGAGTCTGGACAGTCTTTGCCTCTCGAGTTTAGCAATTGTGTCAATGCCAAGAAGCAAAGTCAGACTTCAGTCATGATCTTTGCTCTGATCCAGTTTCCTCTGTCTTGGGAGGGCATGACATGGAGTCCCAGATCAGTCTGGCCAAGGTCTATGGGCTTTGTTGCAGGGAGGTAGAAGTTCAGCCAAGCTAAGTTGCAGTCCCAAGCAGTGAGGTAGAAGTGTTGAACCCTAGAGGAAGGAGTGGATAGTCAGCA